GATTCTCAAAAGTCAAACCAACTTACTTTAAATGTTATGAAATATAAATATAAATATATTCACATTACTTTTTCTATAAAAGTTTTTATTAACCCCCTTAATCTTTAATTTTATTTTATATTAGTCTCGGTTCTCGGTTCCCGATTTCGGTTCCTAATTATAGGAACTAGAACCAGAACCGTATAGTAACGGTTTCAAAAATTTAGAACTGGAACCTACCCGTTGACGGTCGATTTCGGATACGAACTGAAACCAAACCCCAGGTACCCGTCGGTTACGGTTCTAACCGATTCTTTTGAACACCCCTATCTTTTCTTAATGATCAGGGGTGTTCGAGCTTACGCATACCTCAATTAATCTTCTAGGACTCTTAAGTTAATTGTTGAGTAAATCTCATCAATGTTCATCCTTATTAACAACCTAAATAGATCGAACTCAAGATCTCTTGAATAGTACACTCAAAATTCGCTCTATTTTACATACTTTATTCAGAGTAAAACTTCATATTAAACAATATAAATTCTCATAAATTTAACACGTGTGAACAAAATTAGTAAAAATAGAAAAAAGAGGTGAAAATGGGTTTGCACGCGGCCCAGGCAAAAGCAATAAAAGCTGCAGGCTCTAAAGAAATAAAAGAAAAGTAAAAGCCTGAGCTGCATATTCCATTCTCTTTCTTTGATAAATCATGTGAAATCTTTTACTTCCACCCCCTTTCATTTCTATGGCTCTTGTTTCCATGGCATCATGTGAAGCCCAATTAATATTAACATTAAATTAAATTAATTTCCCAATTAATATTAACATTAAATTAAATTATTTCCCAATTAATATTATACCAAATATCGTATAGGAAAATTTTTATGATGAAAGTGAGTGGTCAAAAAAGGTTGGGCCATCAATTTCTTTTTGTAAGTTTATATCATTACATATTTGGCCCACTTCAATGATCAATTACATCAACCATGATTAAAGCTATAATGGTCTTATATTAATTACACTAATTTATTATAAAAAACACAATGTATAAATATGTATTAGCATTTAAATAAAGGTAACTTAACATTACAATCCTTTAAATAAAAAAAACTTTATAATAAACATTTTTATTTGGACCAACCCAATGTCTTTTGCTGTGCTTTTCTTCTTGTCTTTCTTGATTCTGCCAAACCCATGCCAAAATCCTGCCTGGAAATCCCTTGGTAGCTTTCACAGTGATGAACCAGATTTTTACACTTGGAATCTTGATATGTAGTAAAGATTCTCATAATNTGTTTATTATTTATATGATATAAAAAGATTAATATTTTATAGATTTCCTATTAAGAATAAAGTTCAATAAGACAAACTACTTTTAGGGGATCTATTTTTTAGGGAAAATGATAGAGTCACCAAAGGTTGTGCATCGAATCTGTGTACCGAATGATGTGATAAAATCTTGACCATTGATTAATATTAACTGGTAATAAATCAACGGTCAGGATTTTGTCACGTCATTTGGTGCACAGATTCGGTGTGCAACCTTCGGTAACTGTAGCATTACTCATTTTTTAGACTTGAAATTTCACAAAATACAAGCTATGCTAATTAAAAATTAAATAATTTAAAGAGTAAAGGACATATTCCCACCCAAGGTTTGACGAAATCACAGTTGATACCCCAAGTTCTATTTATTCCAGATTTCAACCCTTAAAATAACATTGTTAACAATTTTTAGGGTAGTGGGAGTGCAATTACTGTAATGCCTTTAACCCTAAATTAAGAAATTATGTTTTAACTCTTAAATTACTAAAATTATAAAATTAACCATCTTATTTTGAAATTACTTCAATTACACCCTCAGTGATTGCGCACGGTCTCGATTTTCACCAAATCTGTGATGTTTCCAATGGCAGCGAACCCCCTGGTCACCTCCATCACCTTCCCCATTGTCCGTCGTCCAAAACCCCTCTGGTTCCCGACTCATTGGGCCCTCCAATCATCGGCACTGTCAGGCTTAGATTTTCGTCGTTCTTCACTGTATTCCAACGACGAAAATCCAATTGGACATCACCATTGCAACCAGCGTCTCCAAATCTACGAAACCCTATGTCCCTAGCAACCGTTTAGTGGCCATTCGTCGGTGGAGATTGACGAAAACCAATTGCATGTGGCGACTGTCGTGGCTAGCGATCGGCGAGTGATGAGAGGTTGTGAAGGGTAAGGTTTTGTAGAGGGGAGAATGAGGGTTTGAATAGTGGTGACAATAGTGATTTTGGGTGGAAGAATCGCCAGAAAATGGCAAAAAAGTCCGCGATGATGTTGGCTAACGTGCACCAGAGCTTTGTTAGGGGTGTCGATCTGTTAATGTGCGCCTCCTCTACGAAATGACTAATTTATCCCTAAACTGTTATATCTAACCATTTTAAGTTATTTTAAGGATGAGAATTTGGAATAAATGGAACTTGGGATACCAACTTAAGATTTTGTCAAACCTTGGGTGAGAATATGACTGTTTACTCTAATTTAAACAATCTCTAAGTTCAATAAAATCCTAGAACCCAAATTCAATGCAAATTTATTATTAAGAAAGAAGCCATGTATTTAAGCATAGGGGATTGTGTATAGGGATTTTAATTAATTAATTTAATAAAGCATTAAAGTTTATATTAAACATATTTAATATATGGGTTTGCCCTCCACTATCAAGTTAATTGTGTTTTGCAAGTTGGAATATATCAACTTTCTTTAGGGGATAATTTGACTGTAGATTTAGTAGTCCCACGCTCTAATTAATTAATGGAATTTTTTAATTACAGAATTTTGACTTTCAAATTCTGTACAAAAAAAGTGACAAAAAGAATTGCCAGCTATCTTCCAATTAAATCTTTATCAAACATTATATTTCGATTATTAAATTTTCTATTTTACATACTTTTTTGTTTTTTTACCGGATATCTGCCCAATTTACGTATATCTCAACTAATCTCTTAAGGTCATAAAATTAACAGTCAAGTAAATCACTTTAGTGATAACCTAATCTTTTAGTGATCGGAGGTGTCCGAACTTACACGTACGTCAATTAATCTTCCAGAACCCTTAAGTTAACAGTCGAATAAATCCTTTCAATGATTATTCTTATTAACAACTTAAGTGAATCGACCTCAAGATCTCTGGAATAATACATTCAAAATTGTTCCCTTTTACATACTTTGTTCAATGTAAAACTTCATACTAAACAATATAAATTCTAATAAATTTTACACGTGTGAACAAAAATAGTAAAAATGGAAAAAAGAGGTGAAAATGGGTTTGCACGCGGCCCAGGCAAAAGCAATAAAAGCTGCAGGCTCTAAAGAAAATAAAGAAAAGTATTAAAGCCTGAGCTGCATATTCCATTCTCTTTCTTTGATAAATCATGTGAAATCTTTTACTTCCACCCCTTTCATTTCTATGGCTCTTGTTTCCATGGCATCATGTGAAGCCCAATTAATATTAACATTAAATTAAATTAATTTCCCAATTAATATTAACATTAAATTAAATTATTTCCCAATTAATATTATACCAAATATCGTATAGGAAAATTTTTATGATGAGAGTGAGTGGTCAAAAAAGGTTGGGCCATCAATTTCTTTTTGTAAGTTTATATCATTACATATTTGGCCCACTTCAATGATCAATTACATCAACCATGATTAAAGCTATAATGGTCTTATATTAATTACACTAATTTATTATAAAAAACACAATGTATAAATGTGTATTAGCATTTAAATAAAGGTAACTTAACATTACAATCCTTTAAATAAAAAAACTTTATAATAAACATTTTTATTTGGACCAACCCAATGTCCTTTGCTGTGCTTTTCTTCTTGTCTTTCTTGATTCTGCCAAACCCATGCCAAAATCCTGCCTGGAAATCCCTTGGTAGCTTTCACAGTGATGAACCAGATTTTTACACTTAGAATCTTGATATGTAGTAAAGATTCTCATAATTGATTCGTTGTATATTGATATAATCGGTGGTGGGACGTTTTTTGGAATTACTATATCCAAAAGCTTTTAACAAACTAGTGCCATTGGTATTGGATAAATATGGTATTGATAGATACGTTTCATAATTGGTTCGGTTGTATATATATGATATATCAAATATTATTCACTATTTTTTTTGTTAGTTTTCAATAAAATCGGTGTTTACCCATCCATGTTACTCGAGCAAAAACAATTTCGTGCCACCTATGTGTAGTTGACACGTGGAAGCAATAAAGAGTCAATTGACCAAAATACCCTTTTATAATAAAAGATGTGGCTAAAAATATGTACTTTCTACTATTAGGGTTAGCATATAATTAGTAATAAAAAGGTCTAAAGAAAGTTGCAAATACTCTCCACCCAAAGAAAGGTTGTTTTTATATCCACAACACAATCAAAACCATAATTAAGAATCAAGAGTTAATGGAACTTTTAGTATTAGTGATGTCTTCTTTTAAAATAACAAACAAAACCAAATCTAATAAATTTCAAACATAGAAATCAATGAATCATGAGCAACAAATAAACTAAGAAATAACAAAAGGGGTATAATTAATGTTAATGATGCATTAGAAAAATTTTTGAAGTTAATCATTTATCAATGAGGAATCCAAATAATATGTAGGAGAGATCTTATGCAATTAATTATCTACTAGTCTATTCATTGTAACACTTCTTTCATGGAGTAATTATAAGATTTTAATAATAATTTGCTTTTGATAACATAAATATTCCAATATACAGTGCATTTCTACATTACGTATAATATAAAAATACGAAATACAAAAGAGTGTAACAGTGGGTTACTGCGCTGGTCTCCCCCTAAATCAATCCTTGACATTTACAAGGTTTTTTTGAATTGATTCTTCTGTTTTTCAATAATTTTTTTAGCTTGATTCATGATCCAATGCTATATTAATGAATAGAATTCAGTACTAATTCTTTAAAATCATATACTATTTAAGCCCAAAACTTTTCGATCAATTCACATAATTACTTGAAAGCGTTTACAAGCTGCAAATTTCTCAAGAATCAGAAATCTTCCACACTCAATTCTCTTCTATTCTATGGCAAATCTTAGTTTAAAATCCCCTAAATTTAGCTAATTAATTCCTTAACATGCAGGAAGATTCTGAGGAGGAGGAAGCAAGCCTTGCTCAGGACCAGGGCCATTTTTAACAATAAACGCCATGGCGAGTCCCCATGAAGTGTGCTCTTCGAGGTGGCAATGAATGAACCAAACTCCAGGATTATCGGCTTTTATCCGAATTGCAGCCCATCCCCCACTTGGCACCGCCACTGTGTTCCTCTCCGGAGGATCAACAAGATTGTATTTCTTCGGATCCTTGGCCTCGTTGAAATTTCCGAATCCTCTCCCGACAATGAAGAAGTTGTGTCCATGAACATGAATCGGATGGTTCTCCACATTGAGAAAACCTGTATCCTGTAACACAATTTCTATGTTTGTGCCAAAGGGTACCACCAGAAGTTTTGTCCCGAATTCTGTGTTCATGTTCTCGGTTACAGGATTAACACCAGTAAAATCAAAATAGTTCGGTGGCCTCTCTGGAAAGTCTGATGTGAAAACGCCTGTCGTCAGATTCTTGTAATGGGATTCCAATATCGACAAGGAGGGACGAACGAAAGATTGGTTGTTCATCGAAGCATAGAACTTCTTTCCATTGTACCCTGTGCAGGTTTCATTTTCAGGACAATCTTGAAGGTTTAAGCTTATAGCTACAACAACTCGTTTATCAATTGTTTTAGGCACATTACAAGGGTATTGAGAAGATGCAAGGCTCCGCAAATTGTTCGCAAATTTTGTGGCGAAAGGAGTATCTTCCATACCAGGAAGATTGTAAAGCTGAAGATTCCAAGTGTTCAGGTTGGTTTTAATTTTCCCAGTGCCCTTGTTCTTGTACCTTAAGAAACCAATTGTTGTGGAGTTATTGAAGGGGAAAACAGAAGTGAGATAAGGCCTGGCAGCCATTGCAAACAAGCCTGAGGAATCAGGAACTTGATTTGCAGTAAGCAAAACGGTGGTGGTTTGTCCAGGAGCTATCATTATTGCCGGAGTTGTAAAGGGTTTTGTATAAACTGCATCAATCTCCACAACTGTAAATGTATGTTTGGCTACCGCAAAGAAGAGTTCATCGTTAAGAGCTGCATTGATTATTCGAAGCATGTAGCTTCTTCCAGGCTCCACTGTCTGGATCAAAGTATCTGTAAAAAAGAAACAGGTTTTTTTATATTTCAAACTGATGTGACATTACTCTTCTAAAATTATTCGAAGATCGCGATGTTAATTATTTACCTTTTGCGGAGCAGGTATGAAGAGGTCCTGGAAAACCATTTATTGTATAAGCATCGGAAGAATCAGGGCCTCTTCCAGTCTTCATACCATCTTCTACTGCATCCACATCTCTATTCCACCATTCACCTGTCTTATTCAACCACCAAATGTTATGGCCAGATAAACAATCAGCCGGCAGCACCCAAAGAGACAAAGAAACCAAATAATTCATTTAAAACAAACAAAACTTTGTTTTGTCCCAATTCAGCCTGTCATATATGCATGGAAAGATTAGGATAGCGTTAGATGTATGTTGCACTAGCTCAATTATTCATCTTTATATCTAATCACATATGAGTCATATAGACAGTTTGTACATTAGTTTGTTTGTATACAAAGTAAAGTAAAATAGAGAGATTGATCATTGAAGGGCTACCGAAGATGATGGGGATTTCAGCTTGGATTGGAGATTTGAAAGGATAAGGCATGCGAGGGTAGATGATGAAGGCGCCATAGACAGAAGCTCGTTGCCAAGCAAAATGGGCATGCCATAACAAGGTTCCTCTTTGGTCTGCTACTGAAAATTTGTATGTATAAGACTGCCCTCCTCTGATGGGGCACTGCGTTACATAAGCTGGTCCATCTGCCCATCCTGTTCTGTATTGCCTAATTCCATGCCTGTCCATTACCACAAAATTAAAACACTTCAGAAAATTATTAATAGTTCAAAATAACTATTTTGTGTATGTCAGAAATTATTCACATACGTTGATGAGACATATTCTCGTTGGATTATAGTTGGTTCATTCATTAGGATTTAAATCTGTTTAATTTACCGAGGAAAAGATTATTAATCTAGATGAGGTAACCAAAGGGCTAGTTTTATGATCACTTTCATTATGCAGAAGATTATAGAGGTTGTTTGTCAGTATATCTAGATGGTTGTTTATAAGGTAATGAGAAATAAAATAATAGAGATGTTAATTATGGGATGAACTAAGCAAGAGATTAAGAAATATATAATTCAAAAGATTGATACTTTATAATATAAAAAATGAAATTTTAGATCAGCAGAAAAGATTTGATGGTTGGTGACTCTTGTTTTCTTGTGAAATTTAGAAACCAGTGGAAACTAGGGAAAGGCTAACACCATTGAATTATCATAATATTAACCACCACTGTATGACCTAATGATAAATGAGTATGACAGTCTAATATGGGTTCTTAAGTTTGAGTTCTCATAGACTCTAATAGGAGTGACCACTGAGAGCTCTAGAGGAATAGATACGTACGTGTAAACTGACCGAACACCTTCAGTCAACAAAAAAAAAAAAAAAAAAAAAATATTTGAAACTAATTAACCATTATTTCTATATAACAGTATCACTCTTGTTGCTTTATTTAAAAATGTTTTGTAGCTTAAATAATCTAGTGATCATATAGCTGACTCAAATTGACCAGTTGTGTGTAATTTCCATGCAAAAAAGTTGATAAATAATTTAGAAAAATAATTAATTAAATATTATATGTTAATGTTGACACACATAATTAATTATATGGGGAATGGGAGTTGTTGGTAAAACAACATTTAATTTATTATTTAATTATATGATGTTACCATTTTGACTTTTAATAAACAAGAAGAAGAATAAAATATAAATATAAATACAACTCCAAAGAAAAAGGAAAATTTTCTTTTAATAAGAAAATCGAATTGTTAATCTGTGTAGGGGACCAAATTTTTCCACAAAGAGAAAAGGGAATTCGTGCATATGAACAATCAACTTAATTAAAGCAAATTGATCAAATATTATATATATTTATTTGAAGAGTCACCTTCCACTAAAAAATTCACCATAAATTTTAAAATAAAATTATGAAAACTCACTATAATAATAAAATTAAAGAAGAAATTGAATTTATCAAATACTACGTAGTCTAACGAATCAGTTTATAAAACAACGAATTCAGAACAAGTTAACAATATCTACTTGATTATAGTAAACACGAAGTAAGTCTATTTCGTTAGGAGGATTCAAAACCTTATAAACTGAATTCTAAATTCATTGATCAGGTGATATGGAATGTGACAAAACTCACCAATGGATGGTAGTGTTCTTGGCAATGGTGTTTGTGACCTTAATCTCCACATTGTCCCCTTCATTAACAGTAATGGTTGGCCCTGGATACTTCCCATTCACTGTTAAAAGTTGCTTTGTGTGACACAATCGAGTCACCTTCTTCCACTCAACCTGAAACACCAAACCATAATAACCTTTCATTAGATTGAATAAAGACAGACCAAAAAAAAAGTTCCAAAACATCATAACACGTACATTAAATCGAAAACGTTTGGTTGCTGATATATCAGCACAGGACGGTACCGCCCTGGAAAGAAATAGTAATGCTAGTACTAGCATTGGAAACCCATAATACTTGTTCAAGCTCTCCATATTTTGCTAACTAGCTAGAACAAGACTTGGTTGTAGCAAACCAGCAACAAGAAGCTCTATATATATAGTGAGAAATTGGTGTATTATATTCTCGAGGCTAGTTTTAATAATTTCGTATCAGGACAGACTTTGTGGCTCTGGAAGAGTGGTGGGTAGAGAACGCCAATGGACAAGTGAATAAAAGATTAGATTTGTTTAGAAATATAGTTCGGCTGCCAGGATTAATTTATGATTAAATTAAAGGTGGAAAATCTTTTGAGAAGAGAAGGAGAAACTCATCAGTAAAGATCACTGCATGCATGTCTTCATTTGATTGAAAAAAATGAAATATAAAATAGAAATAAATGTCGACTTCTTATCCTTTTAGCTTATTGTCATTTATTGACTCAATTTTTATTTGTTAATTTTTGTGGGTTGGTAAGGTTTAATCAGGACAAAGTTGGACTGATGCAGCATCTTTGATTTCCAAAAGACAGCACAATTTCGTTGTTGCTTCTTCTCTTTTGAAGTCCAATGACTGATGTGGAAGAAATATTATATGGAATGTTTTGTTTATAAAAGCTTCACCTTCTCCTTCCACTAACTAGAGTGGGTGAACATGGTTTCTTTTCAGATTCTGAGTTTTCTTCTATAAACGTGCGATTAATAAATTAGTAAATGTTGAATATGATGCCAATCCAAAATAACAAACACACAAACCTCAAACAATAAAAGAAAACAGAAATATGCTCGATTTTACCCTGATTCAATATTAGTTATATATTGTTTCACATCTCTCTCGTTTACAATGAAGTTACAAGGGAAACATGTGTTTATATACTATGTGTAAAATACTAAAACCTAGTTTTATAAGGATTCTTATTCTTAAGCTTAAACTCAATAAAAAATTAATAACTTAAAGAAATCATTTAACGGTTATACACGGAAAAAGCCCCTTACCCATTGACCGAATAGCGAGATCCCTTAATGCGTCTACATGGCCTATTAATATTAAAATAGTTGACAACTCCAACAAATACAGTATGTCTAGCGATACCAACACTAGAGGTGAGCATTTGGGAATGGGTCTAAAAATCCAGTCCAAAAACCCGGTCCTAGGACCGGTCCTTGAGAGGATCAGTCCTAGGAGCCTGGTCCCAAAACTGGACCAGGCCTAAGGAGGAGGGCCTAGTCCCTCCACTAGGCCCTCCTCCAAGGCCGGGGCCTGGGCCCAAACCTTTTTAATCATTTTCTTTTTAATCTTTTGTAAAATTACGTAAAATCTCCTATAAATTTTAAAATAAACATAAATTATAGGGGTTAAAATAATATTTTATAATTTTTTTTTTTTAAAATTACTTTTTTTTTTTTAGTAACAGCAATTATGCATTGGGCAACATAAAGTAAAAACAAAAAAATTTACTTTTGTTTAATAGAAGAGAATATTGGAGAGAAAAAAATTCATATTTAATTACATGCAATTATGCACTGGGCAAGACGCAAGACCGCTAGCGTAACCATCAATAACACTTAATTTTACACTATTTACATCAATTTTTATCATAATCCATACCACAAGGTCGAATCTAGCTCAGAATAAAGAAAGTTTACTTTTAGTTCCCTCCAATATCTCAATATTCAATTATAAAACTTAAATAGCCATTATACATATAAACAGGGCGAATCCATAAATTTCTGTTAGAGTGGATCATAATAACAACTAATTACACATTAATATTTTTGTCAAGGTAGGCCAAAAACAAAAAATTGTACATATTAATATTTTCTGAAAAAATTTGAGGGTGAGCTATGCTAATCCTACATGACGGAAGTAGCAGCTCCAGCTCGTATATACATAAACCAAATGAGCTGAATCGCTATCTACAAATGGACCTGTTCTTCATGACGATAAAAGAGAAACGTGACATGGATATTCTTCAATGATGGAACCAATATGAAAGTCGATTCCCTATTGTAACCCAAATGGCATGTGACATTTTATCTGTACCGGTTTTTACAATTACATCCGAGTCAACATTTTCAACAAGTGGCCGAATTGTTGAAGACAGAAAATGTTCTTTAACCGATAAGATGATTGAAGTGATAACGTGTTTACGGAATTTGATTTATGCAGAAAGAAGACTACAACAGCACCCTAAAGATCCCGAACTACTCAAACTCTCTAAGAATACAGATTTGAATGATGTAAATATTGTTGACGATGAAGATGAATAATTTAATTAAAAAAATTATTTAATTGTTTATTTGTAAAGCTTGAATGTGTGAAATGTGAATATTATATTTATACTATTAATTAATTAATTTATTTATTATTTTTTAAAATTAATTAAACTTTTAGAAACTTACTAATCTACCTCTAAAAAATACTAAAAACCCCCTATAAAATTTCATTTCACCCTTAAAATAAAAAAATTAAAAAAAAGATTAGAGGGAAAATATAAATTTTCCAAGCCCATAAGACCGATCTAGGTCCTAAAATTGCTCATAAGCCTAGGACCGATCCCAGGATCAGTCTCAAATGGGCCCAGACCGGGCCTGCTTGGGACTGGTCCTTGACCACCTCTAATGGTCCAGTACCATCACCCGTTGGTCAAGATGCAGTGACGGAACCAGAAAACTTGTTGAGGAGGGTCAATATGAATAATATTATACAATGGAGATAACTTTGTTTGGCGAGGTGGGGGCACTTGGTCCCAAGGTGGCTCCACCTATGCGAAACGACAACCAGAATCTTATCCTGAATGAGTTTTGATATGAAGGAATAAATATTTAATTAGTAGTTCTCGCAACATGTCTGTAACAATGCCACTGGCCCACTACCATTACCCTCCACTGATCGGAGTTGGTGAAGATGGTTCTTTTTGACAATACAAAGACAAATCCTTTCTGTCAGTAATGTTATAAAGAAATAACGACAAATTTGAAGTAAAACACTTTGTAAAAACATTTTGATTGATACTATATACTTTGACATTTAAACATATAAGAGTATGATTTAAAGTTCTCATCTGAATATATATTTACAGAAGTTTGAAGGACCCAGAAAGCCATTTTTTAATTTTCTAATGCATATCTAAACTGTTCTTGGACTGAAGAAAAAGGCAGCATCCCATCAAGATTAACCTTGGAACCTGCAATTTTAAGGGCATCAAAAGCTTAACTAGAATAGTGAATAGTTTAAAGAATTAATTTTTTAATTATTTTTTTTTTTTTTTTTTTTTTCTTTTATTTTTTTTTTATTTTAATTAATTTAAATTTTGTTTAATTTTTTTTTAATTTTTTTTAATTTTTTTATTAAACTATTGAAGAGGTGTATGGTGAATTGTAAAACTAAACAGAGCCTGTTTCATGGAAAACTTTTAGTCATCAAAAAGTTGAAATAGCTATATGAGATCCTCCAAGACATTAACTTCCGGCAAACAGTTGGAATTTTTAAGTGTATGTTTAGTTGTTCTTATCTACGGACTACAAGAGCTATATTAATATTAAAAACTTTTATTTAAACATTTTACATTGTTTGGTTGCAACACAAAAGGAGTTTACGAACAAGGCAAACTTACTGTAGATGGCGTCGCAATTTTTTCTGTGTGTAGTCACTTGTCTGAGGCTTTCGCTTATTCTCACCGCTACAATTAACAGTTGAACAGATAGAAGTCAATTTGGAGGTTGAAGGTTGTGTACAGGATGAAAAAATGGCTAAATTGTTAGATTGTGTTACAGGATATGAGCATAATCTTGTCTTTTCTAAAACTTGTAAGAGTGTTAAAGATACTTACAGAAACATCATTTGCCTTCCCGGAAGAAACTATTGAAACATTTAGATGTTAGCAAATTATTAACCTCCAGCAGAATTCTAAATTCGTCTCATTCACTAACTAATATAAGCTCAACTTTATTACCTGGTGTTGATGGAGCTGGTTAGTGCTCAGATTCTTTACTTCAGGTACAACATCTTGAACTCTGGACTTGGAATTGATTATTTGCTGGAGGATTCCTGAATCGGATTCTAAAAAATAATGCAGGTTAGTTAGAGAGGAGACAAACTTGCTATTCGAAAGAAGATTCATAAACTTTAAATGAAGCATGCAAATGTACTAAGGAGTGATCGAATGGCAACGCGTGCAGCCAGCTGTTCTGCTATCTTCTTGCTTCTGGCTTCTTCGCCTTTGTAAACTTTACCATCAAAAACCAGAGTAGACATGAATATTCAGGTCTTTTCAGGTTCATTTTGACAGCATATTCAAACAGGATCAATTTGCAATATGTTGGATCCTAAAAAACATGAAGTGAACATAATTTATATGAATAAAAAAGACTACCAGATCCCAGATGAGTTGATCTCTGAATCTATTTCTCTTAACATCTTAATAGAGTGTAGAAGCATAAATATGTCTACTAAACCTCGGAGTAAAACTATCTGAAAGATAAACTTGAAGTCCACCATCAATGCCCTTTTACATTAAGGAAAACTAATGTGAGGTATAAGCATATACAGAGCCAGAATTTTCAAGTTTAAACGACATCATTTTTCAAAATTCAGACTCCCGTTCAATGACACCGAATTACTATTAAAAGACAAAATTTTACATCAAGGGAGCTGAAAGTGCAGCAGAGCACCTGAATACTAGGGTTTCCTCCATCATTTCTGGTTTCAGTTATGTTCTCAAGAGCAACTTTTGCAGCATCCTGCTCAGCTTCTTTTCGCTTCGGAAATGTTCCACCAGATACATAATTTTTTCCATTTACCAGAACACATGACTTAAACTTTAGTGCATGTGTAAATCCTTCATTTCTAATTCGATATTCCGGCAGTGATATGCCTAATTTTTGTGTATATTCTTGCAATCTGTTTTTATACATCACTGATCCTGGTAAACCTAAACAAATATAAAATAGATGACTTTCTCAATATGAAATCTTGCACCAAAAATAAGAAATCACATGAAGAACCAAACTTATTGAGATACTTGGAAAAGTAACAATTTTTCTTCCGTTACCCT